TGGGCGGCTGTGTCTGCAAAGCCAGGGGATAGTTTTCAGAAGCTTTTGTGAAAGTCTGTCTTAGGAGGATGTGATGTAAACTGATTAAGCGATAACTGCTTGCTTCCACATTGGTGCAACAAATAGCTAAAGAAGAGGAAAATGTGCGAAAGTGTCGCCTCGTGCTATGTTGTTATTAAGCAACCGATAATGCGCTGATAGTACTATAGTGAATAAATAAATACGATTTAAGTTATTCGACAGTTAGAAAGCGTTGTAATGCGAAAGGACTGAAGTATTCACAAGTTGTGAATGAAGATGAAAACAATGATAAGGCTTATTCAGTGATTGGATACAGTCCTGTAGCTTTTTGGCTGACACATTTTTTATTGTTTATATTTTGTTTGGCATCTAAGTGTGATTGACTTAGATATGGATATTTTCAGCAAGTAAACGTGAACTTCAGTGGAGCAAAACTGGCCAAGAGTGCTATTGAAATATTTGTTATTCAAAAGAAAAATTAATATTATATGCAGGAAGCATTTTGTGTAACAGAAAGACACATCTTTGCAGGTACACACATAGAAATTATTACTTGTGGTTGAATCCAGAGTTGGTGGAAATTAATTCTGAATAAGCTTGCCATTCTGTGAAATTACTGGTAGACAGTAAAACTTCTCTGCACAAGAACGTATACCTAAGAGAAAAACAGAGGAAAGCAGGTTTTACCTTGTAAATAGGCAAATTTTCACTTCATCTCTAATACAGTGGATAGTTCATTTTGCTGATTCCTACTCTAATGACATTTTTCCTATGTGCTTGCTTTTTTGGACTTTTCCTCTCAAAGTTGTAATAAGTTTCATAATTTTAACAGATTTGTATTAAAGTACCATAGTTGGATGTATACAAAAACATAATGCTGTGCTTCTACAGCAAAAGATACAGTTTCTTGCTTTCGCGTGTCAGTAACTTATGCATAACGTTTCCCAGTCATGCTGTATCATGTGCTGTGTAGAAACAGTTCACATTTAGCGATACATACATGGAACACAATTGCAGCAATTTGATTTTAATTTGGAAATTATCTCTCCCTGAATTAATAAGGCATTTTTAGTCACCTTTCCTTTCCATAAATTAAAAAAAAAATAAGATTACAATGGGAATGAGAATTTATACTTTTTGTTATTCATTTATTTAACATAAAAGATTGATTAATCTTATTTTCAGTTGTGAGTGAGTTAAAATAGACTTCTCTCTATTGTTTTCTCCATCCATAAGACTCTTTAGAGGCAGGCTGATTGTGGTGGTTTCTGCTCAGAACAAAACATTTTGGTAAAAGTTCTAAACACAGAACACCTGTTTGGACCAAGCTCCTTGCTAAAGCAGTAGTTCAGTTTGCACCGAGGCTGCATTGTAGCACCTTTTAGAAACAAGTGTGACATCTAAAATTATGGTTTTAAGACAAGCTTGTTGTCTTAACTGGAATGTTATCCAACACCATTTCAATGAAAGTTTGATTACGTGTAAAAGGTCTACAAAGACGAATGGAGACTTAGCAAATGCAACTTAATTTTTTTTTTGGTCTTTTTCTCTTCCTCTTCCATGCGCCCCGCTTTCACTGTTTTGGAATGAGTATAAACTCCATTTATCTCTCTTGCTGAGGCATGACAGGATGCAGTTACTGCATGCCTTTAAATGCTTGGTCTCTTGTGATATTTTTACCATGGTTTATTTTTATAATATGGTGGTCCAGGAAACTCGGAATATGTTGTCATTTTCTTTTCTCGCTAGAATATATTGTTTCACTATGCACAGAGAAATGCAGGGAAATTGAGTATATGAGGTTTTCTATATAAAATTTCTATAGACTTCTGCCTTATATATTTATTTTATTATCCTCAGTTTAAGCTTGGATGAATTGATACAAAGTTTAGAGAAGTGGAAGGAAGGAGAAAGGCATTATGTTTCCCCCTTTATCTATTCCGAAGAGAAAGCCTGGCCTATCCATCGTCGTTATAACATAATTAAACTGTTAGTATTTTTTTCATTTTTTTACAAGCTATATACATATTTCAAAGTAACTTGCATTTTAGTTTAAATTGCCATTGCACAGTGGTTCACCTGAGCAATTTATTCTGACATTTGAAAATCTTACCTCCATAAATCGCTTTATTGCAAGGGCAACTATGACACATGGGTAAGTGCCACATAAAAATCATTTTTCATTATCACCTATATGAATATTAAGGGAAGAAAAATCAAATTTAGTAGATGGATTTTTAGGAGGTTTTGTAGAGAAGGTGTGTGATTAATTGCAGATCTCCATTTAGGATCATTTTATGGGTACTTCTTCTTGTCAAGTAATGTTTCATTTGAAAGGAATCCAGATGCACAATGAATCTCTCAGAGATATCTGATAATATTGCTTTAGAACAGGACGTTCTTTGCTGTGCTTCTCCTTCACACTCTTCCAGATATATTTATAGCTTTAGGAGTTAATGATATTATGAAAGAGAAGCCTGAACCCAGTAAAAAAAAAAAGGTTTTTTTTTCACTCTTCTAAAAGAAAAACATTTAACCTCTGGAGATCTGAATTTACAACCTAGAATTTCACTATAGAAAATATTTATATATTTAAATTACTATTGGTTATTGTTGGTAATACTGTGTGCAGTCACTAAAGGTAAAGCCATTCCAAGACAGTTCATTAAAAAGGAAGACTAGATTTCTAGTAGTCTAGTAGCGCAGAATATTCTCACAGTAATTTTATTGCCATTATAAGGTATAAATGCTGAAGTTGATTTCAGACATAGGAGAAACTATATTGGGACAGAAAATCATTTCTCCTAAAGCCCATCAAACTCTTCCCCCTTAGTCCCCCCAGCTGCTAAAGTTTCCAAAATCTGTAGTAAATCTATTCTATTCAGTTTATAATGAATTGGAAAGATTTAACAACATGCAGTCTTTCTGCTTATGTTAAATTAAAATTTTATTAACGTTTTGATAAAATGCTTTGATTAAGATGAGTTCTGTAGGTGAGAAAATAAACTTTCTGTAGTAGTTATAAATGAGGGAAAAAAAGCATGGCATCAGAAAGCGTATGAAGATAGGGAAGTCTTATCATGGGCTGTGGTTACTCAGAGCAGTATTGCCTTCCCACACAAAGAACAGATTGTGGTTTAACTCTTTCCACGGCCTAGTTTTATGTGCCAGTATAGTATCAGAATTGTTCAAACCTCTGCTGAAAACTACTAATCAGTTTAATTTTTGCCTTTGTGGCTGTTTGTTAAGCATCATCCTGTAATGCAATCATTTAATGTCCTGAATCATGCTCCAATATTGTCTCTTCTTTCTTTTTCTGCGAAGGTAACGTGGCCATAGATAAACCGTTTGCAACTTTTCTGTTGTTTTCTGTTTGATTTGAGGGTGGGGTAGAGAAGAGCTATACACTAAATCTAGCAGGTTATTAACATGCAGGAAATTAGGAAGTTTGTTTGAAATTTGAAGATTTAAATACTGAATTCTTGGCCTGAAGGCCAGTAAGCTTCCATAATGGCAGACTGAACTCTGTATAATTATGAGACCATTAGTTATACTTTCATCATTTTTACCTAATGGAGTTAATCAGCCTACTGGTTAAATATAATTCACTCCCTGTCTAGCAGCGTAGCTAAAATACTAGTTTGTTAATTGTATTCTTGAATGTAATCATATAAAAAAGGTAGAGTTTTAGTTTGATTGCACTGTGTCACTCAGTATGATGAGCAATCTGCGTAGTATTTAAAACGAAATATACCTGCACACAGAAAGAGAGATACCTCCCCTAAGGTCTCCCTTCCAAGCCAGAGTATAGCAATGTTTGATAGCAGATCATGCTGTTTTGAACAGTGGATTTGTTCACATAAAAGAGGCATTACATTTTGGAAAGGCCTATTTAGATATTAACATGGATGTGTAGGATGATACTTTAAGCAGACAAAATGAATTAATTTAATTGCTATAGGGTGTACTTGTAGATGACAACTAAGCATCACCTCCTTAATGCAATACATACCGCTACTAGGCAGAAGATAAGAACTTGCAGGTGAAGCCAGATGACGGGAAGGGATATTTTAGAACTGTAAACAAATTGCATGGATTTCACAAAAGCAGTGTTTGACCAGTGGTGCACTCCTAATGTCACTCTGCCACAGCATGCAGAAACACAAAGAATGCAAAATTTGTGCCAAGTTGCCATTTTTCATTGTACACCTCAGATTGATTTTTAAGGGGTTTAGAGTAATTGCCACACTCATGTGATCAGTTAACAAATTAACTGACTCTGTGGGGCTTCAAATCCCATAGTGGAGCTGCCAGAAGAACATTAATGTAATTTTTGTTCTCAACTTCATAAACTTTTATTTTAAAGTGTTTGGGGGTGGTGGGGGGGGAGAAGCCTGAAGAGCTGAAAGTACAGAAGCTTCTGCTTAGGATTTTTATGCGACAGGCTGTGTGTCTTTTGCCCACTTTCCCTTGCTGTATACTGGTTTCTCTAGTTACCACCACTGGAATGGTGCTGTTTCAGTGCTGGAATGTTGGACGTTTGATAAGAAAATGGATCAAGTTTAATGGCGCATGCTCTTTGTGCCACCAGCAGTCTCTTGCTGAGAGCATGCTCCAAAGCGGGAACTGTGTGGCATTACACTGAGCATGTATATGCTTTGTGTTTCTGTACCACAGAGAAGAGAAATGAACTGTGGCATTCGCTTCAGCGTTCTGCACGTTTCTGCTCAGATTTTTTAAAATCGTATAGTGTCCTCTTTGTGCAATGGTACTTTTCTTGATGTTAGCCGTTCACTCAGATATTTAAACGTTAGAAATAAAACATCTTGATAGCATCTTTTTTTAAATGATGTAGTCTGAGCAGCATTGTGGGATGAAGTGAGGGGAGGCATACAAAATAAAATCTTCACATGCTTCTTTCAAAGAGTGAAATGCGGGGAAAATGCGATTCTCTGTGTACTTCTGTCTGCTGCCTGACAGCGACGATAATTGCACACAAGATGTTACGCAGAAATTTTCTATAAATTTTGAGTAAATTTTTAGTCTTTATTCTCTTCATCTTGCATTTCACTTTAAGATTCTCGGAAATCTGTCATGATGCTGCCTTGGGTATGAGAACGCACTGACTTTGAGTTTTCTTCTTCTCTTCTTTTTTTTCCCTTTGCTTCTTTCCACAGGATGAATTTCACCCGTTCATTGAGGCACTTCTTCCACATGTCCGTGCAATTGCCTATACGTGGTTCAACCTTCAGGCTCGAAAACGCAAGTACTTTAAAAAGCATGAGAAACGAATGTCAAAGGACGAGGAAAGAGCAGTCAAGGATGAGCTACTTAGTGAGAAGCCCGAAATTAAGCAGAAGTGGGCATCCAGGCTCCTTGCCAAGCTTCGCAAAGATATTCGCCAAGAGTTCCGGGAGGATTTTGTGCTCACGGTGACTGGGAAGAAGCACCCATGCTGTGTATTGTCCAATCCTGACCAGAAGGGTAAGATTAGGAGAATTGACTGCCTGCGACAGGCTGACAAAGTCTGGCGTCTGGATCTAGTCATGGTGATCCTATTCAAAGGCATCCCCTTGGAAAGTACGGATGGAGAGCGACTCATGAAATCCCCACATTGCACAAATCCAGCACTTTGCGTCCAGCCACATCACATAACAGTATCAGTCAAGGAGCTTGATTTGTTTTTGGCATACTACGTGCAGGAACAAGGTAGGAAGCAGACTGTCATGTTTTTTATGTTAGCGTGTCAGACTTTTGTTCCAAGTTGCCCTGTTTCCCCTAAGGGTTGACTTCCAGTGAAACATTATTCCGTGGTCTGTATACGTAATGTGGGTACATATACATATGTAAATCAGCATGTATGCGTACACACACACGCTCTCTTACAGACCTGTGTAAATGACATATATGTTTGACATTCGCGCCGTGTTCTTTCAAGAGAGGGTAGGACCTACCAAGGAAGTACTTTAGTTCCTCTGAAGTTGCCATTTTTGTCGAAGAGTGGCAATATGTTGTGTTTTTTCCAATTACAACTTCAGAAAACGTTTTTCTCCTTTTTATAGGCTTTTTTTCCCCCAGTACTGTTAGCAACAGATGCAGGTATGTGCAGTTGCACCAACAGATAGATAATAATAATATTTACTTTCATCTTTTTAGCTACTAATAATCAACAGTTTGTCCTTAAACTGATAAATCTGCAATTACTTTAAAAAGCAATTGCAAATTTTCTCACCATTATAAAATAGAACACGAAATAAAAGAAATCCTGCTTTGTAGATGCCGTATGTATTCAGAATTACATCGCACCACACTTATATTTTATTCATATTTTGCCTCACTAGCTCATGTTACTTGTCCGAACCACACAACAAAGATCCATATTGTAATGATTCCAGAGAATTATCCGTGAAAATTATATTTTCATAATCACAGTACTATACTGACTTTATTTGGCAGATAATTAAAATATGGAAAGTTGCAGGTGTACTAAGGAAGAACTACTTAAACTTAGTTTTACTGAATTACAAGGAAATCAGCCGATGTTAATTGTTTGTCAGGAGAAAAACTGCTGGTCTTACTACATATTCAGATAACGATATTCATATGCTGGTCCTATAAACCATAAATGGATGTGAGCAGAGAAAGGTTTTCTCAGATTCTAAGCCCTGTGAAAAGCGTTTTCTCTGTGGAGGGTCATTTTGGTTCTTTCCGATGATTGTATCATCCTCTGGAAGTCTTCATAGTGCTGACTGATCAGCAGTAATAAAGCATTTCTTTTTTAGCAGCAAATCTAAACCAGGGAAAGTTTGAGCGGCCGCAGATGGCGGGCCATTTCACAACTTGGCCTGGTGGTAGGCAGAAATGGCCTGCAGAGGGGCAGATGGTAGGCTGTTATCTTATGCTCAATATATAACTGTGAGATTTAAATGAAAAATAAACCAAATGGATTTGATTAATAACAAAAAAGTAAAATTGCACATGTCTTTGGTTATAGGATTTTGTTATCATCTGTGTATTCATTCTTTACGAGAAAAGATACACAATACAAGCTTTTTACTTTTAATGACTTGTGTTTTAGAATTTAATTATCCCAATGGTGCTCATGTTTGCATGAACCTATAAATACAGCCCAACTTTTTGGATTATTCATTGTGAAAAAATACAATTCATTGTCTTTTTTCCTGGCTGTATTTATTACATTTTTTCCCCCGCAGCAGTAGACAATGTATACAGCACTTAAATGTTTTGCAGTGACTTTAAGTAGCTGCACAGTCTGGTAAATCTGATCTCCAGTAACCCAGAAAGTTTGCTGTGACAGCATCCAACAAAATATCTTAACTGTATATGATTTGTACCTTTCAACAGCTTTTGTACAGGAAAAGTCAAAAAGTGTTTTGAATACATACATTTCAAGACATAGGTCACTGACTAATTCTAATGCCTTTACCTGTCTGTGACAGTCAAAACTGCAAAGGGAGGCAAAATAGTTCGAGTAGCTCTTGAGCCAAAGAAACTGGGGTCAGCGTACCCTTACATGGTGTGGATTTTTAAGTTGTCAGAAGCCAGTAACTTGAAATAGGAGAAAAAATTGCAGAGCATTGTTGATTTTATTAATTTAAATGGACTGAGGATAGGAGTGTACTCAAAACATTTATCTAAATAGGAACGAGTAGGATAAGCATGCTGTAGTGCTACGACTTCCAAAGTTTTAAGAAGCTACTTTGAGAATACACTGCAGATGAAGCTGGCTCATTTCTTTGTATCAAGTCACCCTTAGTAGACTCTCTTGTTTATTGTAAACTGCATATATTTTGTATCTCTCTTGCCGCTTTGCAGTAAATCTTCTGCTAACATCTGGTGGCTCTCTTCCTGAGGAAGTCGTATTCAGTTATCTTAGTATTTTTTTTTCCCTTTTGTCAAACCTTGGTTCTGTATCCTCATTGAGAGCAGGTTAATTGTGGCACTTTGTAGTGCACTTGATTAAGAACACCAGGCTTTGTAAAAGATAAGCATGAAGACAGGCAAAATGCTGCATCTTACTCATACTACTTTGGTTTACATTTCTCTTTTAGAACGTAAAAATCTGTGTAGTGGGGTCAAATAAAAACTAAGTAGAGAAACAGAAACAGTTCAGTCCCTGAAAAAAGTATGAAGAGGGAATTAACGAATAAAATGAGTAAAGGGGCTAAGCAGTGTGTTTTTTGTTGCTTTAAAAAAAAAAAGGTTGGGAGAAAAAAGAGGAGGAAGGATAGTTTGAGTGCCAGTGATGGTTGCCAGTGGCACCAGGATTGGCATCAGACCCTCTTTGTTTAGCCTAGGATGCCTGTGATTTGTTGGTTGGCATCCGCATTGCAGTGCAGAGTAATGTTACAATATATTGACAATTTCCAGATCTCGAAGTGTCAATAATCCTTTCGGTTCCTTATAGAAATAGCTTCTACTTCCATGTCTGTCTTGAAGGAAGAAATAAGGACCAACGTCTCAAGCTTTGTCTTTGACCAACTTCATCGGGTTCTCTTCCTCGCTCTTCTCCCTCAGCGTTCAGCCTCTTTCCCCCTCTTCTCTCACCTTCTTGTGCTTCGGGATCTTGAGGGGGAAAAAAAAAAGCAGTTTGACACAGGTTGCAATGCTGTTCCTTTGACTGAAATGGAGGAAGAAAGTGGCAACTACACACTGCGATCAGTGTTTAAGGTCAACATTAAGGATGCTTAATGATAATACATTTCTATAGGGTTCTGCTTGTTCTATGTATCATGGTCCCTCACCCGTTCACCCTCTCCCACCCCCCCCGCATCACATTA